AAATTAACATCAAGTTAATTTATTTTATGATTGGTAATCATCCTTCGGTAAACTCATTACGTATGCATTGTGTACCTACAACTGATGGAAAGCATTAAATAAACGTATTAAAGTTTGATCACGTATAAAATCAATTATCGTATGTACATAAATTTGGTTGAATTCCAATAATTTTCTCCAAGTATGTAATCCATCTATAATAATGTTCACAGAGTACAATTTAATCGTTTAATTTTTTTTTTTTATCCATTTTCCATTTTATTCTGTGTACTGCATAAAAACAATGGAAATAAATACGTTTGCTGTTTAATCAACATATTAGAAACTACATAATGTTCGAAGTAGAATTTAATTAAATGATAATAATTTTATTTATTAATAAATGATAATTATAGTTAAAATATTCTTCCCCTGAATATTAAATACATATCGATGTTATTATTTATCTTGTATAATGTATTAGTCATCATTTGATACAAAAAATTTATATTTAGTGTTTTAAACTAATTTAAATATCTACTTGTTTATTTTAAACTGCTCTTACCACTATGAACAAATAATAAATACACGAACATTTAACTTTGTTGATTAACCTATTAGGTTTTAATAATTTGTCACATACGTAAAAAAAAGTAACTCCCAAGCATTTTAGTACGTTTTCTTTCCAAACCGACTATTTATTTAAGTCTGCGTACACAAAGCGATAATTTATAGATTAATTTTTTTTGCAAAGTCTAAATATTATCCAAACCTATTGTAGAACCAAATCAGTTATTGTGAAAATGTCATCACAAAAGGGACAAAATCCATTAAGCCCGGACCAGTATAACCCATTTGTTTTGTATTATTATTATTATTTTTATTATTACTTCTAGCATCAACTATTTGGTAGATCGTCAGTGAATGGATCGATTAAATTCAACTTTGTCATAATCAAACTGTCGTTATTGCAATAGTGCTCGTTTACATTATATAAAGGCTTACCAATTGGCAGACGGCAGTTTACATAGCACAAAAATAGTTATTACAAAATATAGATACGTTGAAATTGAAAAATTGATTTCTCTTTCAAAAATATGCTGAAAAATGATTATTAATTATAATGAATAAATCGATAAATTGAATAAAATTGAAATAAAAATCTGTGGTATGATACTACATTTTGGTAAATATTCATAAACCCAATGTAATTGTATTTCAGTAATCAAATTCATCATATCCTTAAAATTATTAAATGAAATTTAAATAAAACAATATCTCAATAGCTGTCGAGAGTTATTTTAAATTTTAAAATAAAATAAAATATTTTACTTGCAATATTTTTAACCATTCAAAAATACTTTTAATAATATGTATAAGTAAATTTGTATTAGGTGTACCAATATACCATTATATAATAGTCAGTGGGTAATTCTACAGTTCAACTGATCGAGTTATTGAAAACTTGTCAGTATCGAGTTATAATATAATTTTCAAAACTAAAATAAACTTCAAAGGTTTAAAACAACCTTACATGATATTAACTTATATTCCATTCTTGCTTTCAAATGGGTTTTATAGAATCATCAATCAAACGGTACTCAAAATATAGAAAAAGAAACGACCCTTCAATAAGTCAGGTATATAATATGACTTAAGTTAACTTTAATTCGTTTTAAATTGACAAAAACGATTATGTTTGAATTTTAACAAAACATTTCATCGTTATGTAACGCATAACGTACTGCCACTAACAAAATTTCATCAATTTTGTCTTAAATATGAAAAATATTCATTTTTTTAGATTGAACATACTTGGTTCTTAGATTATTTTTACATTGGTTGTATTACTTTGATCGCCTCTTTTATCAGTTTCCTTTGAGGAAAATGTCGATGCGTATATTAACGTGCATAACCAAAATTTCAAACCAAATACTCAAAACATTCTTCATCCAGGTTTTTAGTCTCGAATCAAAATATAAATTTTACAATATAATTTTTTCGACAAATATTTTACACGTACCTAGTAAATCTTCACCGAAATTTGAAAGTTATTTATCGATGGATGTTAATACTTCAATTTTCTGAGAAGTTATTTTAATCTCAATGAAAAAAATCTGCAAATTATATTTATTTATGATTATAGTTATATGTACGAACACACCTATTGTTTAATGAATATTCACGATATACATAATATTCAGTACATTATATTTTACGCGGAACATTGCTTGGAACCATTTTTTGAATACCTACGATGCTTAGTGCTTTCAATTTTCAATTTCAGATGTATACGAAAATCACAAAAAAGGCCTTACACTTAAGATTTGTATTTACTGGGCTTTTTAGGATTGTATACAACATTCGGAACAGTATAAAAAATTTAAATAGTAAAGAAGTACGTATTATATACATACTGAACTCTACGTAGGTAAACCGCAATCACTGTACGATGAGAAAGAATTCCGCACGGTGGTTAACAGGCAATTTAGTTTTAACGAGAAAATCGAATTTTAAAGAGGGTCGATGCGATATACTATGTACCATAGATTACGTACTTAATAATGATAATATGATGACGACTTGAACAGGATTCGAACGAGAGTTTTTGAATAGTAATAACACGATACCGACGTGATGTGAGAAGAAAACCGAATGAATTACAGAACCAACTGTCTATAAGGTCTTAAACGCGGTAATTATTGCTTATAATATGTATGTTAATGTGGTGGCGGCCGGTCGTAAAACCGCGCGAGAAATTACATTGTATGTTTATGTGTGTGAGTGTATATATTATTATTATTATTATTATAACGTGCGAGGGGTGTTTCTCTATTGTCACCAAGGGTCCAAAAGGCATAAATAATAGCTAGATGTCCACCCCCCCCCACCAAACCACCTCCAAAAAGTCTATTAGGACTTGGTCGGCGGGTGGGTATGTGTGAGGGAGCCGGATATATATGAGTTATAGATCTTATTAAATCGGTAACGACCTTTCCCCTGCCACCGCCGCCGTTTCACTCGTATCCGAAAGACGAGTCGGCGGGCGCGATGGCGTATGTTGTGGTTAAACAAACAAATAGCGTATGTCGGTTGGGGAAAAAAATGTATAACTGGTATAATGTAAACATTAAACATCTGATGCGCGATATTATAGCAACCGGCGACGAGACAACAATACGGGGCCCGGGAGCGAACGTTGTTTGATCATTTGCGACTGTGATTCAGCGATAAATACACGCATACGTAATATCTACTATACATATACCGAATTCTACGGACTTGATCATGTCAACCGGTTCGAACGTGGGATTTAACCCGCAGGAATCGTCGGAAACGACAGTAAAACCCAAAGGTACATTGGTGGTTAAAAATACAGAAATAATTCACGCAACATATATGTATATAAATAATCACTCCAATCAGTGGTGGTCACTGTAGAATAGACTCGTGAAGCAGATTTTTTTTTCTAACTCATCCAAAATATACAGAGAAAATTATTCAACATAAATTTTCCTCAACGTAGAAACTTGTTTATTGAGAAAAATCTTTAATTTCACATCAATACTTTCTATTTTGCAGAATTTAATTTTTATTATTAAATTTAAGTGTATTATACGACGAGGTTGCTACAAATAATTATATAATTATAATATACTAATAATTTAATAAACTTAATAGACCATTCGTGAGTGCGTTGTAAAATATAACCTATCCTAACCTAGCATTGATTATATTAATAAATAACAATTATTAAACTAAAATCCTTATCTATTAGACTTTTTATATTAGTACTACCAATTGTATGTATTTGTATGTACGTAAATCTAACTTATTTATCGCAATCTTGGTCTTCCTCTGTGATTTTTTCCATCGATTACTCTTTCAAAGATTAGTAATAATAAGCTGCTATTACTTAAAATATGACCTATTAATGCATTTTTCCTTTTCTGTATACTCTTCCACATTGATTTCCTCTCAGATAATTTTTCTAAATCTTCTTCATTAGTGATTCTATCAGTCCAAATTTTTTTTACTTTTTTTTCATCCTCCTGTAACACCACATTTTGAATGCCTCTATTCTTCTCATTTTTCTCTTAAAATAGTCCATGTTTCTCATCCATATAATATTATGCTCCAGATGTACGTTTTTAGTAAATTTTTTCTGTCAAGTCTTTTTGAAACAAAAAGGCTTATTTTTTTTAAATGCCACTTTAGCTTGGCATATTCTCTTTATAATTTTGTTTTTGCGTCTTCCATCTGAGCTTATAGTGCTACCCAAATAGTCTTCTACTTGTTCTGTAGTTTCATCATAATTGTATTTTATTCTTGTTCTTATGTTGTTTTATTTCCTATTTCATTTAAAATCTAGAAATATGTTTATGAAAAATACAATAAAAATCATAAACAACATTTATTTTTGATGTATAAACAATTTTGAAATTTTTCAATAATCTCCTGAAAACAGTTATTAATAGATATTTTAAAACATTACCGATGCTATAGCGGCTGACATAAAAAAACCTGCATATGAACCATGCCGTAATATACAAGGTATACAAGTTATGTGTTTAAACGTAGAACAATAATGATGGGAGCGATATGTTTTCAAAGAGGTAGCAAACAGAATGTTATATGGCACCCATGCAGCGTATTAAATGTAACTTTTGATTTACGACCTATTTGAAGCCTTCGATTTATCTTCAATTTACTTTCAGTCTCGAAGATTACACGTTTTAATTTAAAAAATTATCCCGGTAATTTTACGACGTTCAATCTTTTATCTGTACTCGTAATTATTTACCGATAACATTAAACGTACTCAAATAATACAAGTATTTATAATACCTATACACAGAAGTAATTTAGTCTGTTTACATACATTGTTTAGTATTATCAGGTCCATAACATCCTGTAAATATTTTACACGGGTAAACATAAAACATGGAATCACGTTGTACATGCCTCCAGACGCTCGCTCTCGGGGAATATCACGTTCGTCTAGGTCACAGCGTGAAAACGCGCATCGCAGAAGAGTATTGCGATGGGGTTCGGCTAATTTTCGCCGAGGTGCACCCGAAGCACCGGATTTTATCGTTAAACGCAAGATATCCAATTAAAACTATGCGCGTTTATCGTTTTCCTTGAGATGCGTACTAGTGATGGAAATTCAAATTCACCAATAATTCGGATTTCGAATTTCGGACTAAAAAACCGCTTTATGAATTTCAATATCCAAATTTCGAGTATTTTTTATCGTGGAACTCTGTATTCTAATTAAGATATTAATCTATTAAAAAATATGCGTGGGTTATAAAAACTTTATCATAAGCTGAACGGGAAAAAAAAAACTACAAATTCAATTTTTTGAAATCCGAAGTTCGAATTCAGAATAAAATCCGCATCTCGGATTTTGGATTGCCAGGATCCGGATTCTTTCCATTGCTAGTGCGCACCGGCTAATCATTACGCGGAACACCACGCTGGTGTAAAACGATCGTTCTATCACCGCTTACCACTATCTCGGCGGAATCCGGGTGGGGACCGACGAACATGGATGACGTGGAAAACGTTCGATTTTCAGTCGTGTGGTGCACCAGGCAGATAGCTCTGGACCGGAACGACCGGGAATCGTACGTGAAGCTGACGGTCCGGGAGCTGATAGTGTACGGCGTGTTCCTCGTGATCTTCGTCGCCTGTAAGTGTTGCCTGTACCGGCCCGCGGCGCTTTTGATTTATACTAACCGTCGCTGCCCTCGCCGCCTGCAGCCTTTTCCGGTCTGCACTCGTATGCGGCATTCGTGGTCAACAGGGAGGTGTCTTCGTTGTTCATCGACTCGAGCTTCACCACGTCCGCGGAGGACGCGGACGACGCCGACGACGTGACGATCAAATTCGACGGCATCATCACCATGGAACACTTCTGGAAGGTAGGCAGGCCGGTGCGCCCAGCGACATCCCTAGATACCCTTTTGTGGGGGTGCCGGACGTTGAGACTCCTTGCGTTTTTTTCTCGTCCGTACGTTTTCCCGGTGTGATATAGATGAGCGAACAACTTAACAGTTTAAAGAAAAACAAAAGAAAAAAAAAAGACATGAAGGTGAAGACCATCCCCTCCCCCGAGAATGCTTCCGGGTGCACGCGCTTCGAACGCTTTTCGCGAACACCGTGCGGCCGCTGCCCATCGCAGATTGCGCACCCCGGCGATCCGGTGGCGCCGAACAACAGAAGAACCGCCGCGGCAAGTACCACGTTTCGATAGCACCCGCCACCGACCGTACGCCACAGATATACCCATCCAAAAATCCCGTATTGACGTATCGCGTACGTTACGTAAACGTTTGTTTATTTGCCAGTCGCATGTGACATCCATCTGCCCACATGTATTTTCGTTCTTGGTGGTACTTCGGTACTTCGGAGGGATTGGCGCCACTGGACGGTGTATACGATAAAATAATATCGCGCACCCTTTAACATATACAAATGGTGGCATTTTCGGGATAAATCCCCTCCCCCCCAAGAACTAAAAAAAAATTTGCTAACGATTAGAGTGAAAAATATGTACATCATAAATATTTTAACGTGTATATAAAATGTAGTATTTGTCAATCACGATGGAATCGCGAAAACATTACTCTTCCGTCGGAGGAGGTAAAAGGATAAATGTTTGATATTGACATAAAACATTTTTAATCCACTCCCCCCAGTAAGATAATTTAATGTATGACACTGTGTATATATATATATATAATGTATGAGTGTGTATGTATTTAATAGTCATTGTGACGTGGTTTCGGTTTCAGTACTTTTACAACGTCCTGTGCGACAAACTGTACGAGACGCCCTTGGCCGGCAATGAAAACGGCTCCGAAATACTTCGCGAGAACAAATTTCTGTTCAGGCCCAGAGCAAGACAGGTACGTACGATCACGCAATTTTTAACATGCCCCTAGACGTGGCCCACAACAGAATTATAGTACACTGAACGAAAAATCCTGATCGTATTAAAAAAAAAACTAGAATGGTTTGACAATTATCTTGTTGCTGTTCAGCCGACAAGATATTTGTCAAACCAATAAATGTAAACAAATAGTCTGTAAAATTAATAACTATTATTTTCAAATGAAAATATAAAATCTTGTAATAACGGCAATATTTTTATCATCATAATTGTAATTAATTATTACGAACAATTTTATTGTTAAATTAACAACTGAAAATTATTAATGAGTCATTATTAAGGGGATTGGAAGTGGTGATTTTCTTTCTTTGTCTAATATACGTGCAGCATAGCAATTTAGACGTTTTCTAGTTCCAACGTACCGATCGATCTATTGATGCGATAAGGAATCTAAAAACAGATTTGCATTCGTCGTACCATATAGGTATTTGATAAAGTAAAAATTTTTATGATAAGGTGTTAGAAAATAAAAAAAATAAATTTAAGTTTAATAAGTTAATAAATATATAAATATAAATATAATTGTAATAAAAAAAAAATATTTATAACGTCTTAATTAGTTAGTAAATATGTTTTATATACTAATGAAATACCTCAAATCTAATTCCTTTTCAGTATAAATAATAAATAAAATGTTCAGCTTTGTTAAGTAAAAAATGATTATTATTGAAAAAATAAAATTTGATGTTGATAAAAAGTTGATTTATATTAAAACTAATTATTGCTTAAATCAGAAAGATTTGAACTGATTTTAAGTGAGGTTTATTAAATGGAGATGTTACACCAAAAAAGTATTTTTCAATGAATACAGTAAGTATAATACAGTAATAACAGTAAGTGACTGATATGGGGATTCCAAATCAAACAAGTGGAAAATTTTGTAACATTCTTCGATAGATCTTTGATATAGAACGCACTTAGTATTTTGTATTCGCGATTTTGGCATGCGGCACATACGTATACACCAGGAGCCGGCAAGTCTAGTGACTATTGGCGTACGGAAGATAAAAAAAATAAAATAACACAGTTCAGATTATAAATATATATATATTTTTTTTTTTTTTTGAGACAACATTAATCTAAGTTGGCTCAATAAAATAAAATATTAATTAATTTTTTTTTTCTTAATCATTAAAAAGGTCACTTAAAAAATGTGATCATTATATTCAAAGAAGATGTGATAACTGTCCAGTTATGTGTTAGTTAATTACTAATTAATTATCGCGATTCACCATTTGCCGTTTGTTGGTGTGTATAAGTACTATATCCACGTACGTGGTTATACTCGGTGGCATGGCGAACTCAAACATTTTGGGAGGCAAGTACATTTTGTCGGTACCCTTCAAAAAACTGAATTGATGGCTGCCTCTCGATTACCCACATCGCCACGCCACTGGTTACACACGCTCTGCCACCAACGTGAACACAATATCAATATGCGCGCGCGCTTGTTTTCGCCTGTTTGCTTGTGTGCACGCACTTGATTCTCAACGGAACCGTAACGGGAAACACAACAATTATCTAATAGCATTACGTCGGTTTTAAGGAGTAAACCCATCAGGATTTAAGCCGTGTACGATAGAGGATTACGTGTGGCTCTACACGGGATTGCCGCTGTGAATACAATAGTGTACCCGTACCGCATCGTATTCTCGTTGCGCGCGAGCGTACGTCCGGGGGCTTAAATCGTGAGTTTTTTTTTTATATTTTTATACACGACCCATAGCAATCGTACCGTATTGTTTTACCGGTCGATTACAATACGTATTAACGTTATACGCTATTATTATATCAATCGTTATTAATACTATGATTGTTCGGAAAAGTCGCGCGCTCGTGTTATGATATCGGAGTTCACGGTAAATTCACGTCGCGCGCGGTGTGTGCAAATATCAAATCGCACGTTCGTAACGTAACACGTGGTCCATAATACTGTCGTCATAGGTAAGAGTCGAAGAAGGTCATTGCGAAATCAGAAACCAATTCAAAGGTTTGTTCCGTGAATGCTATGCGCCGTACGAAATTCGATATGAAGACAAATCGAGTTTTGGACCAAAAAAAGGAACCCAGTAAGTTTTTTTTTTTTTAAACTTTCGTCGTAACGTAGTACGACTCGTCTGTTCACGTGTGATAAATGGTTTTTGGACCTTTGCTCGGTACTTTAAAATCAGAGATCTAAAGTTCTATCTGTGTTGTGTTTACTTCTAGTGAAGTTTTACCGAAATATTCTTCTCTTCGATCGTTTATATTAATAGTTTCACTGAATCTAGTCTAATAATCATGGACGCATATATATATATATATATATATATATATATATATGGAGACAAAACTTCGCTAGTTTTGACTTTTCAAAATAGAAAATCATTAGCAATAAGAAAAAAAATGGTTCGACATTTGGGCAAAATTTTATACGATCAATAATTGTGATGCAATACAAAGTTAAAACACAATAGATTATTTTTCTGAATATTTTAAATTTGTGCACACATTTCTCATTATTTTGTTTCTCATGCGATAAGTCCCATTACGTTTTCGTATATAGATGGTCGTACTCAAAGGATTCGGAAACTCAAGGCGTTTATTACGAAGGCGAAATCGCGTACTACGGAGCCGGAGGATATTATTTCGATTTCCCGAAGAACAAAGCCGACGCCAAAGCGTTCATTCAAGATCTCGAATACAATACGTGGTTGAACCGTGGTACCAGAGCAGTGTTTGTGGATTTTGCTATTTATAATTGCAACATTAATGTGCTTTGCGCTGTCAAGTACGAAACTATTTCTTAAGATATTTTAATTAAATTTTTTGTTTTATCTTTTTCATACCAAACAAAAATGTGTTCTTCAGTAAGATGCTAAAGATTAATTTGTCCTCGTAGGAATGTACACGTTCCTGGCGTTTGGCATTTTTCCATCTCTATTGTTTGCATTTGGTGATTTTTTTGCCCATGTTGTCACCGTTCCATGTGATATATAAAGCTTTTGAAATATTATAATTGTGTTAAATGTGTACAAATTATAAAAAAAGCAACGAGAAAAATATGTGTATGCATATTTTATATTATTGTATGTATAAAGAACATAATCATGTACAAATAAATTAAATATGTATCGTTTTGGATGTCTTTTAAGTTTCTCGATGAATTTTCAAAAAATGTTCGTTTCATAACAAATACATTTAGTGTTCATTAAATCCATTTCTAAACAACAGTATGTCCCCCCTCCCCTAGCGTAAACACCTTGCCCGGGAAGCACAAGCAATCTTCACGGAATATTAGAATTTTTTTAATATTTATGTAACCAGGGAAAAAAGATAAAATATTATACATGAACAGATTATTTTTTATTTTTTTTATTAATAGATACCTCTTAAAACTATATATTAAAATATAAAAATAAGGTTTTTCAACTTTATAACTTCATTTGCACCTATTTAAATCAAAAAAAAAAAAAATAAAATAAATAAGATGTTGCTTTACATATGCAGAGATTTCAAAACATACTACTTACGTGAATTCGGTGATTTCTTAGATGAATTTTAATTTTATATAGCATACATAGTTCTCCATCAACGTGTATGTAATTCCTATAACGTATTTGTAGGTTAGGTATCTTGCATTATTTCAAGAATTCAGATAAATAAAAAAAATAAATAAATAAATAAATGCCTCATTAAAATGATAAACATTTTGTCGTCATTCCAAATTAATTGAAAAAATAACATACATAGATCTTTTGCGGTATATATGAATAAATATTACAAAATATAAGTTTTTTAATTTTTCGTAAATCATATATTCAATGCTTGAAGTTAAATAATAAAAGTGATCCATTTCGCAACAGTCTACATATTATTGTTAGCATAAACATTTTACCCTCACAAATTATACCGATTTTATAAGACTGACGAAATGATAATAAATGCGTTAATCAAAAAAATAAACCTAACTGTTTGTCACAACGGTAAAATATAATACAATACTGGTCCAATACATTATAGACGTGTGATTGATATAATGTCGATTCACGTTAGGATGTAAAAGATACATTTTTTTTCACGTTGAAAAAAAAATAAGAGAAAATTCGTAAATTCTACACATCGTATCATCAGTATCATCAGTATAGAATACTGTGTATGCGATATAATTTACATATAATCCTAGACGAATTTACTCATACGATTGGTTGGTATTATCTTAAAGGTTAGTGTTCGAGTTTCCAGCGTCGGGCGGTATCGTACCATCGTATTCGTTTCGGACGGTCAAGTTGTACAGGTACGCGGTGGCCGACACGATACTCTCGCTGGTCGGAATGTGTACGGTCGTCATGTTCATCGTATATTTCACATTGGAAGAAATACTTGAAATCTCGTACTTTCGACTGCGATACTTTACCAAGTTCTGGAACGACGTCGATTTCGGTATCTTGCTCGTAAGTCGTTTATATTTACGGGCGTTAGACCAATCGTATCACCTCGTTAAGCATAATTTTAACTCTGAACTTGGCCATGAATTTCAAAGTTTATATCTGAGTTCTGGTAATAGATTTGTAAATCTTCAGGAATCGAGTGTTAAAATACCACGTGAAATTGGCCCACTCGTCTGTTGTGGGACAGAAATTGAATTGGATTTGAAGTGTTTTTGGTGAACTGGCAAATTCTTAGAAAATCGTTTACATATAAATTTGGAATTATTAGTGATAATACGGTGGGCCAAATTCGTGGATTGCAGTCGTACTGCAACTCTCGACAAAACCCATATAAACCTTCGAGTTAATCGAAATCGCATTTAATAATGTGAAAAAGTAATAATTTCCTCCCCCCCCCCTGTCGAGAAACGTACAATTATTAAGACATCTAAATGAGATGTGGACATTATTCATTTCTAATCAACGTCTGCTGCAGTTGGGATGGTGCAATTTCGGGTTGGCGTTAGTCATCGCGCTGAAGGAACGACCATCGTCGAAGCTCGAAGACACGATGTCCGCGCCCGAGGAGGGCTACAAAGTCGTCGAATACCTGGTGGCCAGACACGAGCTCCTTGGGCAGTTAACGGCTTACATGTTTTTCTTGGTCTGCATCAAAGTCATCAAGTACACCGATTTAAACAAATCGATGACCATCATATACTTGAGCGTCGGACGGGTAAAAACACGACGAAACAGTCGATATATTAATTATAAATCATTCAAATAGTAAACTGCAAGAAAAAACTGAATTTTCGAAAGACAATAGGGGTAGTTGTTAAAACGAATCCAAACTCCCTAAGTGCTCCGAAGTCTTCCTGCAACCCTTCTTTCTGTCCCTCTTACTGTTTTTCCTAGTTCCAAAAACCCGGTTCTGATATTACTATAACGATCGTTACATCATAATTAGCTTATGCGCAGAAGCGTGTTTACGAGAGGGGCTGGGTGGGCGCTGGTATCCTCCGATGAACTATGCCTCCAATAAAATCACACCAGGATAAAAAAAAAAAGTACGGTTTGTACCGAGTATCGATAGTAGAGTAGTATTATGTTTTAACTCGCCAATGGTTATAATTGTTGGTCTTAATTAAAAAATATTCCTATCATGGCGAGTTATTTAATTAACATAAAAAATAAATATTTCTTCGTGTCTAAAAATAAAAAATAAAATTAGGTATCACAATTTAAAAAAATGTTAAGTCCCCTCGGCCATCATAGTCTGTCGCATAGTGAAACACGAGTAGGATTTATAGCAGGACAAAATATGATAGTTATTTTTTTTACATAATCATTTGTTCATGCTGTATTCACTACAAAAAAGTTAATAAAATCTGATATTCAGATTTACACAAAGATTAACAACATATATTACTGAAACTAAACATAATAAACTAATATTCTTTGGAGTAATTTCAACTTAATTTATACCTAGTTACTACAATTCTATAAGGTATCAGAATCATAATTCATTTTATCATAATTTGAGAAATGTTCTGAATCTTCAAAGTTTTATAAATATAAAATAGTCTTTAAAATTTTCATTTAATAAGCTCAATACAAAACTTTTTTCGATATCAAAATACATTTTTGAAGTCATTACAGGATCCAAAGTTATAAGAAGCATATGTATTAGATCTTTATTGTTATCAATTCTCGAGGTTTTTCATGTGCGGTATCGCCTGAATCTAAAATAATATTTATTCTTGGCTTCTTGAGACTCCTCAGATTACATTCCCAAAAGTGAGCTAATATTGCTTTACATCCATGAATCAATTATTTATACAAATAAAAAAAATTTATATTAAACATCACATGTTAGATAATAAAATAATACCACAACTCACAAGCTTAACTTTTAATTATTTATTATTTATATGTATACAAAACAGTCTTAACATTCATAACTGTAACAAAATTAAAAATTAATAATTTCTAACCTTGCTAACCTACAGTTTTTAGTCAATAAAACAGTAACAAATATACACAAAATAATAATATATATGTATTATCATTGATTAGGTATAAATACTATTACTAGTATTTATAATCAATGGTATTAACAACTAAATAAATATATATATATATATATATATATATATATATATTTATGCAACTGAAGGGTAACTTTTAGTTTTATATTTATTTATTATAGTTATTTATTTGAGTTTTTAGAAAAAATATTTATTTTACATGTTTCAACATATTTTGGAGATTAGAGAATATTATACTATTTTTCAAATTTTAAAATGTGTTGTTGTCTGTAGCAGTGGCGTAGATACAATTTTTTTCTGGGGGGGGTTGTTTAAGAGTAAGTTTTTAAGTGTTCTTAGTATATCTTAAAACGAGGTCATATGTAATAATATTACATTTAAAATGGTATTATTATTATGTCCCGTATTTAATGAAAATTATTTTGTTACTCAATTTTTTATATATACCTAATCATAGTAAAATCAAAATATTTTACTATAATATGTAAATATTAATAAATAATAATCAAATATCAATAAAAAAAATTTGTGTGGGGAGGGTGGAAACCCCTTACACCCTCCCCGTAACTACGCCACTGGTCTGTAGAAAAAATCATATTTGTTCAATTCATAAATTTGGACTTAAATATCACAGAAAAAAACATAATATGAAAAATGGATTAAAATAAAAACAATAATAATTATTTTATTTTATTATTTACAATATGATCACTTGACATAAATTTGTTGTTTTATTAAAAATGTTGTGATTTTTTTTAATTTTACATATGAAAAAACTATATGTAAATGTATGCTATCTTGATTTTTTTACTGGACACATTTTTTTTTTTTTTTTTGTTACATAAAATATGTAATACCTATTTTCAGTAAATAGGTACATTTTTACAAGTGTAAATAACAATTAAAACAACATTTAATATAAATGAAAAAATATACATTATATTTATAATATTATACATAATTAAATAATTAGCATACTTAGGAATATTTGAAGAAAATAAAATATTCCTTGGATTTAAGCATTTTTCAAACAAATTTTACCAATTTTTAAGGGAATATTTAGGGAATATTTTCAGGTTTTTTCCGTGCATATATTATACTTTAAAAACCCTGAGAATGCGCCTTTTAATTATAACTTAAAAACTTACCCTTTTATTGTAACTTGTTTACACCATAACTATACCGCCAAAAACAGAAAACAAATATTTTTAACTTACAATTTGCTGTAATGTGCGAACAAATGCAAATTAAAAAAAAAAAAAAAAAAACTTACAATTATTAAATGCTGCTGTCCATCATATATCACTACAGTTTTGGAACAGCCATTTTAATAGTAAACTATGCGTTGGTGTCGAGTGTCGGACACAGGGTGACCTATGTTTACGGTCCGTGTACGTGTTAAAATGTTAATTGTTATATACACGAGCGACCTAACCGGGTATCTGTTAACGATTAGACACAGCATCTGTTAAATTAACCCACGATTACGAGAATATTATACTTATTTCTTACATATCGCATTATATTATTTCATTATTAATATTTTTTTTTCGAAGTATTAACTTTTTCTTCCACTTGTTCAAATATATTAATCAATAATAAATTTCTTATTATGATATATTATGTACTTAACGTGATAATTACTAACGCCGTTTAGTGTTACATTCCCTCCGACTTTGGAGATTTAAATTAAAGGAGACGCATAATCTTACTATAAGAAGCAGGACTCCGTCCTCTTCCGTCCCCCTACACTTTAACCACTGGCTTATATGTGTACCTTTTGTACACACTATGTATTCTATGTTGATTGCAATAAGCATCATTGTGTTTTTACGTTTCAGTGCTTCAAAATCGTCGCGGGATACCTGGTGATAATGGCTATCGTCGTAACTGCGTTCGCCGTACTCGGATATTGCGCGTTCGGCGCACAGGTACATTTGTAATGTTATGATAATTATACGTACACGAGAAATAATTGAAATAATAATAATAGTCAAATCTTATTCGCGTTGAGGAATTCATTTCGGAGTTCATGAAATGCTTTGGATTTCTTATTAGTTTTCATCCGTTCCCGAAACCGCGGAATCCTCGGAAACATCTACACCACGTTTTACATTGCAATTGTGTAATTTTTCGGGTCGAAGACGTTCAAAATTAATTTCGCGTTGCACGTTTCACAATTATTTTAACGTTCAACTAACGGAATGCAATTATTACGTGTGATATTCATAATAATTATTTGCGTTTTATACTCGTTTATTATCCATCGCCATCGATTGTTTCCAAAAACTATCGACTATAAGTGTTTAAAATTAAAAATAAGTTACATTTTTATTTATTTTTCGTACAGTTGATCTAAAAACGGATTTTTCCGTCTGAATAAAGTTCATAAAATTGAATACCATTACAAAATAGACGTAACACACACATACACATACACGCGTGTGTAGGTGTATATTAGAGATGTTAAACTAATGGTGTCGACTTTTTTTTCGTCTCAGGTAAAAGGATTCTCCACCGTAAACGATTCTCTCTTGTCCGCGCTCAGAATACTGATGAGAGACTTCGACTTCCGGTCACTCGAACACGTGGACCAATCGTTCACTACGTTTTTCTTTGTCTTGTTTACGTGCATGGTGATTTTCGTTCTCTTAGTAAGTACATCCAGCCAATAACTCTCTCTCTCTCTCTCTCTCTCTCTTTCGTGACATGCCTACTTGTTATTGTTTAATCTGTGTTACACTCGTGTCAGTCTTAAACTTAAGTTAATGCATGATTAATATATTAATTTCGATCCCGATTCGTATCAGGATTTCTAACGTTAGTTTAATTAAACATATACACACTCATAAAAAAATAAAAAAATTCCTTAAAAATATATAAAATACGTTTCATAATATATGTAAATATTAATTAATAACGTATATTGTGAATTGTGATCGATTCCGAAGCGTTATATATACGCGTACAGGGTTATCATCAAAGACATTGATTTTAATTGCATACAGACAATGCTGGTAGCGATAGTGTTTCACGCTTATTTCGACGTGGACGTCGAAGAATTGTTGGCCGAACGGAAGGTCTACGTTTTTGATAAGATATCCGAGTTTGTAGACCACATGCTGCTGAGAGTGGGTTTGAAGGAATGGTCGACGAAACGCAAAAACGACCGGCTCAAGAGTGAACTCGACCAGCACATCACGTACCAAGACATTTACAAGATACTGAAACGGTACGGATACATCTTACAGTGTTATTATATTTCAACGTCTCATGGTATGATTGATATGGAATTATGTGTACGTGCTGTTGTTTCAGTTGTCGTTATACAGACTCCCAAGTGGAAGAGATCCTCAACAAGTACGGTATCCGGCCGCAAAATGCGGTGCACGAGGACGAGGCTAGGCAGATGTTCCGAGACGTACTGCAAAATCAACCGGGAACGAGTATGTTACACACGATGTACAATGATTCCCCCCCCCACAAAAAAAAAATTAAACTACAACGTAGCAAGTATCGTATGGACGGTTCTCAGTCCATACTGGGGCAAACAACAACGATTCGAGTAGACGAGAATTTCGGGTTTCAGGAGGGTGGAACGCTTTGACGGGATTTTCCTCTTCAACTCATCAAAATTTCACAAATTACAATATTTGAATTTTGATGGAAATTCAAGTATTATTTCGGACTATTTATTCGGTTTACTGTTACAAACACGCATTGTTTTCGCATTCGAATTTAAAGATGTGTCTGTTATACAAAATATACACTGAATTATTCATCTTTATTTAAATTTTACCTTCTTAAATTACTTAAAAAATGGCTTTTATCGTACACCAAACCCAACCGAATAAAGTCTAAGGATTATGTCCATCAAGTTAGCACCGGCACATTTTGCTAGAGTTATCCAAATGGTATCAACAATTTGCTAGACATTTGCTCAATTTTGCTAGGGCTCCTGTTGTCTCTTGGAAGGTTCTATAATTTAGCAACAGTAATGGTACGCTGTCCGACTTGCAAATTAAATCTTAATGATTCTCTTCCATTGGTGAAATTATCGGGAGTATTTGGTGTAAAATTCACAGAGACCCCCAGTTTTAGAGGGCTCCAAGATATCTTCTGATATTATCTTTTTCCCTTACAATATTCCTATTATAAACTATAATATACACATATTATATTATTTGTATTAATATAATAATAATAAATAATAATATAAGTCTGGAATTTTCAAATAGGCCCCTTATCATCAAATTGCGCCTTTTTCTGCACACTCCATTTAGAGGAAAAAAATCTGTATTCTATCTAATATTCTCTTTGATTGTCCTTCCTTACCTACCAAACGCAATATCCTTATTAGTTTCTCAATAACACATTCAATACTTTCAGCATTCTAAATTTCAAAATTTGCTCTCATTCTAATTATTTTCTTCATTCGCAGGGCTAGTTTCTGTATATAATTTTTTATTATTTTAATATTCTCATGTCATATGTTTTATCTATTGTATTTTAATTAATTAATCGATGTATTTTATCATAATTATCGAGCTTAATAGTATTTCTAAAAGCTCTATAAATACAAAAATAACTTTATAGGTAGAACAAAACAAAAAAGTTATTATGTAGATAATAACTTATCATTTTAAACCGGTATAATTTATTTACGAATTAAATTTATTCGATTGCACAAAAAATAACACGTTTTTAAATAATTGCCAATGAAAAATAATTGGGTACCCTTGCAACTTCTGCGTTTATGATGTGAAAACTATCTATCATAGACGCGTTCAAAATAAAATCGTACAACTCGATGAAGTCGATGTTCGTTTATGTTATTAATGTTATTAAATTAATTATATCAAGTAACAATAATAATAGAATATAAATGGTATATTATTGTTAATTTTTCATCTCGTCGATTTCGGGGCAAAAATAAATAACCAATACTGAAAATGAACTAGCAATACCGCCGATCAAGTCAATTATAATGATGTCGACTATGCATCGATACCATGGCGTTAAACGTGTTAAATATTTTGAGTTAAATAATATAGTTAACTTTCAGTAATATTACTTAAATTATGAAAAAGCTCTTGGCGCCCCAGTGTTCATGGCACCCGGTACACACGCACCTCTCGCACCCCACTAAGCACGGTCCTATGTCTATAGTTTGCTTATACACATCGTATGTAATTGAATACACCTTGATAAATATTATTTTTTGTAAAATCATTAATATTTTTGTAAATATGAAACAATTTATTAATAAAACGATTTGTTTATTGTAAACATATGCTATATAATGCAATATCTTTTTTTAAGCATCATTAGATCTATAATACTATCATACTTCTCCCATTTTAAATTTCTGGTTTAAAAACTAAAAATATTGATTAAGATTTCAGGTTGACAAAAATAACAATTATATAATTAAAATTATACATAACTTTGAACTATACACCAAACATTATACAATCAATTCGAAGACTGTACAAATATGAAGTACATAAATTAAAAATAAATAAAAAATCAATTATTCAAATTTTCTTATCGATATTAGTTTTTGTCAAATTGTACATACTTTAACTGTCAATCTCCCAACATTGTGCAATCGTAATAAAGGCATATTTTTTAAGACTGGAAACCTGAGCTAGTGCTGATATTAACTTTTGGAACCTATTAAGAAGAAGACAAGGATTCTAGCAAAATCTATCAAATTCAGCTGAATAATTTGACATATTTTTTTTAAAATTCGGATAATATACCGGTGCTGAGACCAAATTTGGAACATGCCCCTTAGACGGCTGGGGCTTTAGCAAAATCTAGAAAATTCAACTGAATAATTTGACATCTTGTTATTGAAAATCGGACATAGTGCCGGTGCGCTCAGAAAGGTGGCACCAGCATATTTGTCCGTGGATTTCTAAAGTTTAGGGGCCTTAGAAAAATCCAAAAATGCCATAGCAAAATCTAGTAAACTTTTTTATACCATTTACCTAACTCCAGCATAATGTTCCGCTGCCAACTAGATGGACATGTAATGGTTTTATTTCCAGAAGATCGTTCGTAAAAATGTTGATAGGAAACAATATAGGTTAAGTGTTTTATATATTTCATTTTAGCGTGCGTGGAAGATCCTTATTACTATCAAAATTTCAATCACCTTTGGTCACCATGAATCTAAATAATTTGTCATTTATTTTTTCTGTATAGGTAAGATGGACGAGGCAAAAAATACCTCTAATCCATCGGATGTCGAATGGTATAGTTATCTCAGATGTATTGAGGTGAACTAGTTTATACGATATAACCCATATTTCAGGTTGGTCAAAAGAATGAATCAACTCCAAAGTTCATTGGATGAAGTTCATCAGAAAATCGACATCGTCATAGCTCGTCTTGACGCGATCCGAGTTCAGTTGCCGCGTAATTACGCTGAACAAGCGCAAGAGGAAACTTCCTAATTATAAATAATCAAGTTGTTCTTACCTGTCGACCTAAATAAAAATGAATTACAGTCAGACCCGATCTCTGGGGTCTAATATTTTGTTTTTGTAACTGATAAACTAACAAAAGAAATATATATATATATCATAATGTATAACATAATTTTATAAAACAAAATATTAAACACATCGGTAAACATAATAATGAGTTTGTAGCTTACCTAAGTGTCAACAATTTAACTTTTCGTAGCACTAAAATCATATATAAAATAATTTTTTTTATTTCTGAGTGCTCCGTATCGTAAACATAGAAGTCGCAGTTTTATTATAACTGCTTGGTCGATTTAATAAATCGATAAAAAAAGAAAACAAATTATAACATTTTTTATTCGTATAACGAAGTGTACACAACAATAATATAAAATATAATATGAACCGATTAAGAAAAAAAAGAGCATTAAGAAGTATGACAAGTTCGGTAACACTTATTTAAAAACCAAAAATATTTCAGTTTTATCGTTCAGAACTACTAAAGTAGTTATGACACATCGTATAAAATAAATCACAGAAGTTGATATCTTTGGGCCCTGATATCCGAAACCATTTTCTTCAAAGCTCTCAAAAACCGATCGGCGTTAGCCTTGCTGAACACCATCGGTGGTTTAAGCTTAATGACATTCACGTCAGGTCCATCACTGCTGACCAAAATTCCTTCTTCGTCCTTCATTCTGAAACACAAGTTTAGTTTGCAAAATTAAAAAACTCTCTGGCATTTATGCTTTATATGATACTTTATCACGGCAAACTGTTTGTATAATTGTTAAGCTTTTTAACAAACCGCCACATAGAAACGCAATATTTTAAATATTCACCTGTTCACGACCTCTCGAGTTTCAACTGTCGCCGGCGTTTTAGTTTTTCGATCTTTTATCAGTTCGACGCCTATAAATAATCCGACGCCGCGAACGTCGCCGATAACGTCAGGAAACTTCCCTTGCATACACTTCAATTCAGATAAAATGTACTCACCGACATCTTTCGCGTTTTCCATCATATTTTCGTTATCCACTACGTTCATTACGGAAATAGCAATAGCGCATGATACGGGATTTCCGCCATACTGTAAAACGGCAAGTTTTTCGCATTTAATTTATATTAGCAACCGTGCACGATTTAATTCAATTAATATTCTATACAAAAAAGCGCACAATATTATGGCCAGTAGAAATGTTGAAAAAGCTATATCTATAGCTTATATTTCTTCTATATCATTGAACGCACATCTAACCATTTTTAAGGCGTGTATTACGTTTTTGTATGCGACAAAATATTATTAATATTTATACTTCAGCAAACACGAATATTAAATATATTATATTAACCTTTGGTACTTTTACAGTGATTAGTAAGCTGTTTCTAGTTTAATTAATTAATATTTTTATCTATGAGATTATATATTGCAAAAATATTATTTGAACACAATTAAAATTTATTGATATACTTTTAAATACGTCAGCAATCGTCGAAATATGTATATTTTGTATTCAACTAACCTTGAAATACCTTCCCCTCTACCTCAAAAGTATATGAAAAATAAACCGACCGCTCTGTATATATATATATACACACACAAAAATTCACTGAAACCAATGCACATGCACCACATTTATATACAGAGAGATAGCTAAACATTTCAAACACAAATACAATTTCATAGAATGGTACAGAGTATAATTGTATAAAATTATAATTAAAATAAGCAAAACTAATGTTGATTGATTCGCATTTAACAATAATTACCGTGTTGAAATATTGAATACCAGTAGCTTCAAAGCTACGAGCCACCGCTTCTGTTGTGATGACGGCAGCTACTGGATGACCGTTTCCCATTGGTTTTCCAACAGTCACAATATCGGGAAGCACGTCCGATCCGTCGAGTTGGAATGCCCAGTAGTGCGTCCCTGATCGACCGAATCCAACTTGTACCTCGTCCGCAATACACACTCCGCCGGCTTCTCTTACATACCTTTAATCATACAGTTCAATACAGCCGTCAACAAATGTTTACAGTATGAAATAACATCCGAAATCGTATTTTGAAAATAATTACGTTACATATTTCTAATTGTTGATCATTTTTAAAATTTTAGATTTTGAGTCAAACAAGGAATGCATTAATTCTATCAATGATATAATATGTACAATAACATATTCATTGAAACTTATATACTACAATATTAAATAAAAATTAAAATTATGTATATTCAATTATTTATACATTATAATTTATTAAATAATTTATAAGATCTTACATATACATTTTATTGAGATAGGTTTCAAAAGTATTGTAGTCGTCCCCTGAAAAAAGGTCTGCACGCGCTTATGAACATACCGGTATATAATAAAAACTTCCTAAAACATATCTCTTACTAGTTGATGAACAAATTTATCTTAATTTAAAAAAATTTTATGAACGTTTGAGTATTGCTTTTTTTTTTTACGATAAAAATCATGGACATCCACTATATTTTTGTAGTTAAGAATTAATAAAACTCAATTTTTATACTAAACATAAATTATAATTAATAATTATAATATAAATAATAAATAAAAATAAAAATAATAAAAATAAAAAATAATTATAATAGCTAAATAAATAATAATATTGGAAAGTTTCAACAATTTTATAAGCATTAAAAAATATAATTTTGATGAAAGAAGATATTTAAATGAATTTCACTTAAACAATAATAGTTATTTATTTATTATCCTAGGACTGTTAATTATTGTAGGTAACTTGAAACACCTACTGAGAACTTATATTAACATTTTAAAACATTTATAGTTTCAAAATATTTTATGAAAATTTGTGCTATTTACAGCACTTAACATTTTCAATTTTCCCAAAACATTTTATAGGTCCTTTTCTTTTCTGCAAAGTTAGAATACTATAAGTCCAACCTACTCTATTAAGAAATTTAGTTCTACGATAATAATTATCGTTAGAAATATAAACAAATCCAATTGACTCCTTTCACTCAGAATGATTTTTTTGAAGAGCGATGGTACAAATGATTTTAGTTTAAAAGACCAATAAAACATATCAATCACTCGTCCCTGAATCTCACCCGACCTAGGATTTCACCCATTTTTAATATAAATATCATTACATAAAATTGCTTACTTATAAACATTTCGTAGATAATTATGAGGTAAAATAATCTGACCACCGCAACTTTGTAAACTTTCGGCGATATAAGCACACACTTTTTGACCCCGTTGTTCAATCACATTCTCGTCAATTAATTTTTTTACCTCCAAAGCATACAATTTTCCCATGTCCTCTTCGGGATGGTCTTCAGCTCTTATTTTACCTCTATACACATCCGGAACCGGAGCCTATAAAAATAATTATTAAAAATGAAACCATCATCAGTTTGAACAATACTAGAAAGTCTCCAGTTGAGACATACACAGATACAGGATATTTGGAAATCGTATATAATTTTACTTAAAAAAAATCAGTATTTTAATATTTTTAAAAAATGTAAAACTTAAGCTAGTAAAAAAAAAGTATCATATAGTTATTAGTTATATAGTACATTATATTGTTTCAAGAAATTTCGCAATAATTTAAATACTGAGCCCTTATTGAATGAATATTACTAAATTTAACTTTTTCGATGTATTAGTTATAAGTAGGGCTAGGATTTATATGCAATAAAAAACGATTAAATATGCATTTGGCTTATTGAAAATATGCAAAAATATGCAATAAAAATATGCTTAAATAAACCAAATAAATATTATTTAAAAAACACGTTTTCTATAAATTTTTTGTAAATACCAATTAATAAAAACAAATATATTAAACATTTAAATATAAAAACATTTAATAAATTCTAAAATCTTAAGATCTCTAAAATACTAATTGATATAAAATTGATAAAGCTACTCGAATGAATTACATGAAACAATTACATGATGTTTTAAATTTTCAAAAATGATCGATCTTCTGTTTGACCTTAGTATGTTTTTATATTTGCTAAAATTCCGTTCGACATCACACGACGTTATTTTTGCATATCTAAATTTTGTAACTTCCCCAGGAGATAGATTTGGAAAATCTTCATCTACATTGTTGCCATTTAAAATATTACGTATCGTAGACAAAGCTTTTAGCCCGATATTTTTTTCTAACACTTTTTTATATTTTTTGTCGATTTTTTCAACGATCGGTCCTTTGTTTTGGCCAAGTTTAGATTTGGTGTTTTCAACGATTTCCAAATTCTCATCGAGTAAAAGTGATGCATTTTCTAATTTCAAAATAGATTGAGTGATAAAGCCAAAGTTAATTTTTATATAAGCTAAATCATTTTGTATAGTTCTATTTTCAAATAAAGCTATAGCATTCTTTATGGATTTTGCAGTATTTTCGTCTAAAGACAAAAGCACCGATTTTATGGAATTAAAATTATCAGCATAATATGATGTGGCTTCTAGCCAAGTTCCCCATCGGGTAAGTATTGGCTGTGGAGGTAAAGGTAATTCTGGAAACAATTCTCGAAATTTTAAGATAAAATTACATTTGGGTATTTTTGTACTGCGATAAAATGAATTGTAATGAAATATACTATAAAACATGCACTTTTTGTGTTTTTATAGTCAAAATGTATAAAAATATTAATTTTGTTCAAAATATGCAAAAATATGTATTTTGTCCAAAATATGCAAAAATACCACCATTTACCCCAGCTAGAGCTAATTCGTGGACATTACTTACAAAATAAGTAATCAGAAGTTGCATAAAAAATATACAAATGCATATAAATCCTAGCCTTAGTCATAAGTTTGGCAATTTATATTTATCTAGTCATGAATCTACTCTAATTATAGTTCTGAAAAATCAAATCCACAATTTCATAGTAACAAATTTTAAAAATGTATTAATTTACATAATACTAAAATACATTTTGTCTCTGGTATTATTATTTTTCAAATCATTACAAATAAACGTCAACAATAAATATTAAGTTCAAAATAGGTACATACCACGTGTACATGATCTGGCTTTTTCGGTGCTCCCGGCAAATTCAGTTTGTATGGTGAAATGTCAATAAGAGAAGTTAAGTGACCATGGTAAGCACTAAAAAATATAAATATTAATTATAATATTGCACTCTGCAGTCAAACTATAATATTTAAGCATAATACATATGAATATTACAGTTCAAAAATTAACAAAAAGTTAAATAACATTTTTTGCCATTCTACCACGGATTTATTATTTTAATAAAGAAAACAAAGTATCCATAATATATTTATTCTGAATAAATTCATCTCACCACAAATGGTCAAACAACTTACGACTTATCGGTGCAATATTAATCACAAGATTCGCTAAAAAGGCACACATTTCATACATATGGTTATTGACATTTTAATTGCTCAAATCCCTTTATAAAAATCTTGAATCTTGAATCTCTCTGTATCAAAGAAATTTTCTATAAAATCTATGGATAATACAACAATTGTATGTACAATTTTGATTTTGATTTTAACATTTGTTCGACTTGTTCATTATACTATTGTAAATTGTAGAAAAGCAAATGACATTAAAAAAATGAAAAACTAAACAAATATTTATGCAAAGAAGAAACAGAAAAAAATATAATAGTGGTTTTTAATAAATAACTTTAAAAGTAAAAACCACTAGATAATCAAATAACCATAAAAAAAACAAATCCATAATAATATAACATAATAATAACATAATATAACATTATTTTTTAAACCAATTATGTTGTTAAAAGATTTTATTAAAACCAATATGTATATACTACATGGCCGTATCCAGCATTAATTTTTTCGAAGAGGGAACGTTTAATCATTTATTTTATAGTATATGATCATATGACATGTTCCATTTTATATTTATCTATCAATAAACAACTGCATATAAACAAACCAATTAACATTTTTACTATTTGTACATCTCATAACTGTAATAAAGAATTGAAACATCGGTTCTTTTTTTCAATCAACATACCGCAAAATTAGGTCAAACTTCGTAAGCATATTTTCTACACAATAATATATACTTCATACAAATTTTTTTCATACTCAATGAAAATAGTTTTACGGTCAATGATTAATATATAATACTATTTTAACTGTCCTAAGTAAAGTCATCCTATTTTTGACAATTTTAACGAACGAATTGTCGTAAAAATCAGCGCAAGCTGGGCGGGATTCTGAGAAAGATTTACTCACTGATCTAATGTGATGATATCTGTGTTTCCAGTGTGTTGGCGAGCCAGCCGAATAGCCAGATCATTAGCTTCGGAACCGGAATTGACAAAGAAACAAACAGACAACGATTCCGGCATTTTCGACACGATTTTCTCCGCGCATATTACTAGGTTGTCGTGCAAAAATCGACTGTTGGTGTTCAACTGTTGCATTTGTTCCACACCCGCTTTCACTACATCCGGATGACAATGGCCCACTATAAAAAAAAATAAAAGATTTTCGATAAAAAAACAATTCAAATTATTAATATTGTTCAAGTGATTACTGAATTCAATATATTTATTATTCATATATAGGTAATATGGAAAAATATATAATATAATCAGTATATGAATAAGTATATAAATAAATAACCAGTTTTAGTTTTTTAATGCACATTATTTTTTCCTTAAATGTTAGAAGTTTTAACAATTCAGTGATTCCACTGAAGATATTGTACACCAACAAACCAGATAAGTATGAGTAAAATAAATATAATTTCCATCATAATTTGATAATTATAGTAATAATAAACAATAATAAATCGCGAATAGAAGAAAAATCGAAGTATTAAAAATTTAAATCAGTAATTTTTATCTTATACAAAACTTTTCTTTGATTTAAGTTTATATTAAATATGTAATACTAATATTCCGGTGTAATGAGATTTTAAAGCATGAAAACAAAGATTCCTACCTTGATCCTACTCTTCAATTATTTTCGTTATTACATTTATACTAAAACCTGGTTAGCATAAACTATTAAATACATCATTGGTATTGTATTTAAATATAAAAAAAATACTTATAGGTACTGCATATCTGTATATTCAATTCATTTTTCTTAACTCGAAATTCACATAAATATAATTTTAGAATTTTAATTTTTAACTGTAAAATATGTATAAAATGTCAAGACCATAAAATTGACCAATAAAAAACGGATCTGAGGAGTAATTAACAGTTATACCACCTTTACCCCTTCTTTAATACACCAGTGAATAACCAAAACGTAATTATGGTTATAAGAACAATTATTTGTGTCCAAGCATTGGTCAACAAAATAGAAATAGTTAAATGTAGACGACCACAGTATATGTTACTGTGCATAGTAATTGTTAGTTACCTACATAACAAGTTAGTTACCAAATAATTATTATTCATAACATAAACACATCGTTTTAATACAGTTCATCTAATGTTGTTAGAAGGAATTAAAAAACAATTATGAACAAATATAGAAAAAATTATTACAATATCTAATTAATATTTTAACGTCCAAAATAGTTATTTGATTTAAGTTATCAAGTCTACAATAATTTATCAACTATGGAAAATTATTAATTTTTTTATTATTTTCATATTAGGAAAGAAAAAAATTAAGACAAAAGAATAAACTTTTAATTGTTAGATAATATGAATTGATTACCTATATACTAAGTTTAATTGATTACTAAGGTACTAAACAACGATTAAAATGATACCAAATGAAGTATGAAAAACAAAATAAACTTAACGAAAACAGATCTTCAATACTTGACTATCTATTCCTCTCAATACTTTTCCTACTTTAAAATGGATAATTGTAAAACAGAATGCATATAGACGTGGTACAACGTTCAGGTACCGCTGTAAAACTGTATAAATTAATTTTACTTGTGATGTAAGTAAATAAAAATCGTAAATACCTGAATATAAATTGTACACTACGTAAGTTATCAACTATCCCACATTCTACAATGGTTGCATACAATCAAAGTATTTTAATACCTACAGCGATATTTCATTATCTACAGAAATAATACATTAATTCATACAATCAAAACAACAACAACTCACATTTTATTACATTTTATACAACTCCAAAATGAAACCAGAAGGATATCAATCAGAGAAGTTTTATTCTAATAATAAATATAAATTTAATTATGAAATAACAAAAAAAAAAAACAACGTCCTAATTTCTTGTGATATGGTACAACACATATTTTATCTGAGTATGACTGAAATAATTTCCAAATTAACTAAATCAATTAATATATTATTCTGAGAGATATACATAATTTATTAATAAACAAGTAATAATTGCTGCATAACACTTTATTGTTCCTTGTAGAATAGGATCCAGGGCCGTGTTAAGGGGGGTCAAAGGAGGCAATTGCCCCCGGGCGCCGTGGTTTTTTAAAAGTAAGGGGGCGCCCTTATCTTCACTTAATATGCTACCTGTGCCCAGTAGCCCCGTAAAAAAAATTTTGCCCTGAGGCGCTGAAATGTTTGACACGGCTCTGATAGGATCTATAATATAAATTCTATATAATAATTTATAATTATTATTATTATATTTATTGATATAGATGATAATAACTAAACTAATACAGAATCAAGAAACACTGTCAAAGAATAACCAAAATAATTTCAACTCCTTGGTAATAACATAAATGATTAAGTACCTACTAAATTGGATAGATTAACCTATTAAAAAAAAAAAAGATCCTAGAACCTAATGAGTACAGAGTGAGGAATAGTTTTTGAATCTAGTACCAAATTTAAGGCACATGATGTGGATTCATTATTTTTTTTAAATAGTTCATAATACTATACTAACGGGTAAATTGTTTTTTCGATTTTTTTTCTCCTGTTTTCATTTTACTTTAATATAATCAAAATACTATTATTGATATAAAAATCGTTTAAAATGAATGTAATAAAATTACAAATTTTAGATATTTTTAAACGATTTTTAGAGTTAGAACAATAACTATGTTCATTATTTAAAATATATAGTCAAGCCACCTTGAGTACGAATGGTACATCAAATTGAACCATCACTCAATATTATGTGGTAATACGGAGTACCACGTTTTAGGAATCATTACATATAAACGCGTATGGAAAAGGAAAATTATTACCTGTATCGCGAAAACATTTTGTAACAATAGCATACATTTTTTTAATTACGATTACTCTATTCGTCTATTTGTATAACATGCAATTATCCGTTTTACCTAATTAGTAATGGTTATGAAAACATAAATTCGAACACGTGTCAGCTATCCAGCGACAATTATTGTTGAACAAAACATAACTATTGCTATTGAAGACCAATAAATTGAAATTAATTAATTAATTCGAGTTGTTTGTTTTCAAATAGATACTTATTCGACAATTAAAAATCATTTTTCAAAATTATATAACATCATTCGACGAATGTCAATTGATTCTCATGAGTAGAAATAAAATGTATACATATATTATAATATATAAATTTTACAAAACCCAAAAAGTACGTTGTAGACAGGCCCGTATTTAGGGGGGAACACAGGTAGACACATGCCCGGGGGCGTCAAGTCTCAGAGGCGGCAAAATATTTTAGCAAAATTAATTTTAAAAATGATGTACTTAATGAAAAAAATAATAAGACAATAAAAAAAAGAAAATAGTATGTTTTATTACGTTATAATTTGTAAATTAAAAAAAAATTGTATTTTTATTATATTATAATTTGTTAATTAAAAAAAGTATTAAACGATTTTCATTTAAAAGTTAGATTTTAATATAAAAAATTTCGATTATGGACGAAATAATAAGTGTTATATTATTATTATTTATTTTAGAGGGCTAAATTATAAGCCCGGGGGCACAACATTTTTAAATACGAGCCTGGTTGTAGATCACATATCCAACCGATCCCAAAAACTACATACATATTATGTACAATATTAGTTTGCAACAAATATCGTTTCGAATCTTGTGTAAATTACAACAGCATAGGTACATACTCGTATACAAACATAAAAAATACAATTATAATTAATTCTGTTTTTACTAGGCCCGTAAGCAAAATCCATTCGTAGATATCATAAGATCACCCAAGTGCCAAACAAATTACGTAATTTTAAAACCACTGTAGGACCGCTCATATAGATATAGATTTAAGCCATACCGTGGGCTACGTTATTGATGCAGTCCAAGTATTCTCTTCCGTCTTGGTCGTACAAATACTGTGCTTGGCCGCGCACGATTTTCAAAGGACTCTTCTTATAAAACAATTCGCAAGATTTCCTAAAAAACATATACATAAACAAACCTATTTTTCATAGGAGACACACATTTTGATACATATATAATATTTTCTATAGTCGGAGCTAAGATGTACTAAGATAAAAGAAAAAATTATTAATTTTTCGTTATGAAACCCTGAATGACAATCGCTTGAGCAATAAACACTGTCGCCTTTCGGATGAAAATAATTAGTTAAGATTAGAATGAATGACAAAAATAGTAAGTAATAAACAAAATAAAAAAAAAAAACAATTAAATTAAATTTTAAAAAATACTATCGCTAATGCCCAATACCACAACAAACATGTAACTTCATTATTTGTATAAACATTTCAGCAATAATATAATAAGTAATATATTGTAGCGTTTCAAAATCTGTGGTAAGCAAAAAACTCATAAGTGATATGCAAAAAAATTTCGTTCTCTATACATGTTTGATGTTACATAAGTGGTTTGTGAACATTTTTAAAGCTGGTACTAGGATATAAAGAGGTTGAGAACCATTACTGAACTGCATGTGATAAAAATTATGTTAAAAATAATAATAACGGACTTTTGCCGAATAATTTAAAAAAATTACATGATATAAAATAAATGTGGGCACAAGGTAGGTACAGCAAAAATTAAAAATTAAATATTAACCATAATGTTAAACAGATAGGCGTGTGCACGGGGGGTGCTAAGCAGGGGCGGCTCCAATTGGGAGGGGCTTGGGGCAAAAATACATATTATAATATGGACTATCATACGACACGTACAAATATGTAGATAGAGCCATAGAGGTATGAAGATTAAAAGGAGTTTCTCCACACTTCGGAGACTAAAAACCTCGATTCGTTCAAAGATGACTGAAGATACGACTATCAGCATTATGTCTAATAATGTATGTCATAAAGTAGATATTCTAGATCAAATAGATTATGTTATTGATATATTTGCCTATTTTATAAATAGACAACTTGAATTTGTGTTGTAAAAATTGTTGTTTTCTTTTTGTTATAAGATTCTGTAAAATTATAACTTGCCCCCCCCCCCTAACCAAAGTTCTGGTGCCCCTGGTGCTAGATATGCCTAGATACTCCACGAAATGTTGTAAATAAGGTCCTAAAATGTAAATTTAAAAAAGTAAAAGTAAGGGATCTATATTTTAACTGATTTTGCTCAAAAAATGTAATGTTATTTATTCCAAAATATTTAGTAAAAAATTAATAAAGTTTCGTAATCAAAAAAATAAAACAAAATGTTCTAAATATTCGTGCAAAAACTTATGATTATATAACATCTACAATAGTCAACAAAAGTACATATCATGAATAATTGAAGCTATCTGAAAAAAATATATGTGATTCAAGGAAAACATAATCATTAGGACTAATATACTACAAAATTAAATAAAAAATTAAAGTTATGTTTACTTAACATTATTTACATCATAATTTATTAAATATACCTACACTTTTTTTTAAGATAGAGCCCAAAAATATGGTAGGCATCCCTTGAAATACAAGTCTACACACAGCATAGTGGTGGAGAACTCACTGGGATACCGTATAATTTTTGATGACAAAAAAATTGTTTCCAAATATAAAAGGTCAACAAAATAACTTGTTTCATACTTCAATTTTAATTTTACTAATAAGAATCCATTCGATATCACAACGAGTTACGTCAAAGAAGTAAAGGAAAAAACTATTTTTTTTTGTTGTTATCATTGACATGTACCAACACCCAATATTAAGTCAAAATATTCACATTGTGAATTAATTACGAGTATAGTTGTTATGTAGATTTGACATTTTAAAAACCGTTCATACAAATAAATAGGTAAACACATTTTAAAATAATATGTAAATTCTCTTGATTTATAAATCACAGTGAAATAACCATATCTATATAACTATACCTACCTATATTAATTCATTGAACAATTAAACAATATCAATGATAATTATTAATTATATTACTTATAAAGAATACGTGAAGATCGTTGAATATTTATTTATAGATACGAAAAAATTGGATCTTGGTCAAAAATAATTGAATAAATTAAAAATAGAACTTACCCAACATATTTGTTACGTAGATCAATTGTTTGAGTAAAAGTAAGTTTTTTAATTTCCATAATTGTTTGAGTAACGGTAAGTAATAAAATACCAACAAAATAAACAACAGCAGAGATCTAACACAGTTCCGCTCGCGAGCGTTTTAATACTAAACTATAAGTAGTAAGTGCATAAATTAGAAATACAAACATACTCATAGGTTTACAAAATTGTGACGGAGTGGATGACCTTCATAACATAATCAAAACAAGTTATCTACACGATTGTCTATATATATATATGTATATATGTGTGTGTAAATGGGTTTACAATCACAAAATAATAGTATAAATCTGTTAATTGATGGTAATATTAAATATTTATTTAATCATGTATTTAAAAAAATATATATTGTTTAATATTTTAACCTGCGTGGTTATGTGGATAGACTCGATAATATTATTAATAATAATAATAATAATAATAATAATAATAATAATAATAATAATAGTATTAATAATAATCATATTAATAAATATCATAATTATAAAAAAAAGCTAAAACATTTAAAATACTGAGTGGTAGACATGATAATTATAATAATTAAAAATATTAATTTAAGGTCAAGTGGAGTTGATAATTTTTCTTCGAGCACATCACTTTCAGTTTTACAAAAAAAAATTTACAATTATGTAAAGTATAGGTATAACTTTTTCATTGTAATTAATAATAATAAGGCATTGGTGGAAAAATATGTAAGTTACACTTACAACTCCACTTTACCATAAAAACATGGCTTATTCATACACCTAAACATAGATCACAAAAATTTCCAATCATTTGTTTTTTTTTTCTTAGACCTTGATAAAATGATAACAAAAATCATAATTATAATAACTAAAAAATGATTAAATATAAGAGTTTCATTATTTATAACAAATGCTGATATCAAATTATATTATTATTACTATTATACAGAGTGTATAACGGAATATTTAATATGCAGGTACAGTGTTATTTTTATATATACCTATTCAAACCAAAAAAATATATATTTTAAAATGATTAGATAGCATGGAAAAATGTAAATTATCACTTGTTGAACACTCCATACAACTGATGGAGTAAAATATTAATAATGACTGAATAAAAAAAAAAAAAATCTAACTTAAAAAAATGTCTTTTGATAAACATAATAAATATAATGTAATGATAATAAAAAAAAGGAAATAATCATCTGAAATATTGTAGCCATTTAAAATCAACATTCAATATTTTAACAATTAAGAATAAAACTGAAGCTTTATAAATGGCCATATCTACAATTATGCTAGCACAATAATTTTATTCGATGAACAAAAATATAATATAATTATACTAATTATTAGTTATAGTTTCTATAGTTTATAATAAATAATACGTGTGTACATGATAAATTGGAAATGGAAGTTTAATTTATACTACCCCAATAATATATAAATAAAAAAGAAAAACAAAGAAAAAATAAAGTAAAGAATAACTACTTTTAGAAATATTACTTAAAAGAAACAAAAACACAACTTAATTTAACTCTTATCTTAATTTTTAAGGGGAATGTAAAACTAAAAAATATACTTTTTTGTATTTAATTTAAAAAAATTGAATAAAAAACTTTTTAATATTTTAACATGAATTATTTTTATTCTTAATTTTGCTCAAATATATTGTGTTTTTGTTAAACTATATAAAACAATAAAAATAAATATTTTATTATCTATATACTATATAGAATAGAATATTTCTAATAAATAAAATTCCAACTTAATACTTTAATATTTTCTATGTAATTCAGTTACAAATTATACTTCTAATTTATTATGACACTTTCAAAATAATTATCATATTACGTTATACAAAAAAAAAAAAAAAAATTAAAAATATGTTCAAATTACAAAATTTGTTTAATATGCATAAATATATCTGTTCATCATGTGTACCAATATAATTTTAACAAAACAAAAATAAATAAATAAGTTAATTAAAAACTAAACCAATTGAAATAATACACATTATAAGATTTTTTCAATGTAACTAGCCTTATCACATTTTTATTTTGTCTTTTTACACTTTAACTAGAAATAATTTAAAGATGACACTTTCTATAAAAAAATAATATTTTTTGAAGCTAAAACCACTAAGAAAATAAATGTGATACAATAATACTACTCAGGTATTTTATATTATATCAATAACATGTAAAAATATCTTGCATGCATGCACATGTACATAATATGTACTTGTACCCATTGTTTTATGGTATTTTAATTTTCCATGATTCTTCTTGTATTCGATTAAAACAGTCCGCTAGGAATGTAAACTGTATCAACAGTTAATGAATAAATAAACATATTAATATAATTTATTTTTAACAAATATACTTACATAGGGAGTATGTAGTTTAACACACTTAGGACTTTTCTCTTCGCGTTGAAATTGAAAACTAAATAATCCATTCAACTCATCAATCTCCCAGCATTTAATAGTTTTCCAAGTGAATTCAACAATTTGATTCTGTTAAATAAAAATTTATTATATATGTTATTGACATTAATTTCAATTATTTTATACAGTGTTATTATAATAATAAAATAACTTCTTGATAAAAAAATAAAAATCAGTAAGAGTATATTATTGTTTTTCTTATATTTAAATATATTTTAATACAGTAAAAATTTATTATAATGATAACGTCCAAGGAATCTAACATTTAAAAAAATTAGTTTTTTGTTTCAAAATGTTAGTTTTATGTTTTCTTCATTATTTTTATAATACCTTGGATTTTACATAAAAACTTTTGAATAATTACTAATATATCACTGATTATCATTTTAAAAAATTTTTTAACGATTTTTAAAATGCCATATTAATTTTTTTTTTTTAATTGTAAATAACTTTTGTTTGCTCACTTTTACCAAATAAACATGCCATGGATATACAAATAATAATGTTGTACATGGCAAAATACTTAAACTATATTAAGATTTGTTTAATGTTTTGTGTTGTCATGAAAAATCTATATATTGTATTATTTATTATTTGACTAATTACACATAAATTATATGAGTGACTTGTTAATATAAACGAAATATATATTTCCAAATTCACCAAAAAAAAAAAAAAGTCATGAGTAATAACATTTTAAAATAATGCTGTTTTATAAATTAGACACCACATATTGTATAAAAATCAAAATACATCACTATTAGTATTTATAAAAATATACTTAATTTTCCAATACATCAATCAGTAATGATAAAAATATCAACTTTTTTAGACTAATTATCCATTTAATAAAAATCCATAAGGTATTACAATTTAATGATTTGTAACTTTATACATCATCATTTTCAGAAATTTTTTCTGAACATTAATGAATCTCTTGGTGTTAATATTCTTATTGCCTATATAGCTAACAACTATTTTAGGTAAATATTAAACATTTTTCAATAGCCATTTCTTGATTGAAAATTTAATATCAATAATCTTAATGGATCTTAATTTTAATAAATATTTTAACTACTCAGAAGTCTAACAATTTGCTCTTTTCTTAATAGTAGCATAAGAGAGAAAAATGTAATCAAGATATATCAGATTAAGCTGTAACTATTTTATGTTATAATTTTCTATTATTTTATATAATAGAAAAATCATCACTTATCATTTATATATATATATATATATAATTGCAATTGAATTGATGATTGCAAAAACATCACGAATCACATATTTATTGAAATTGAGTTATTAATAGACATATACTAATCATGTGTTTCTATGCATTGAGTATAAGAACACCGATTATTATTATTTGTTTATCTGATAAAAAAAATATAACTAAAAACTTTTTTTATATTCAATGCATAGAAACATATGACCAGTATATGTTTTTACTAATATCTCAATTTCATAAAATATAAGGCTCGTGGCATTTCTACGATCATCAATTTAATTAATTTAAATTTATTAGTAAAACAATATTTAATTTTTTATTTAAATTCATAGAATAACATTACAATCCATAGATAAAATAAGTTATTACCTTATACTTAAGATAAGTTATTTAATAATTATACTTTGCAGGTGCAAACGCAGAGAGGGGTTTAAGGAGTTCATCCCTCCTCCAAATGTCAGAAAAAAAATCTTATAAAAAATTATCTGACCTACCACTCTTTAACAATAAAAGGATATTTTTGATTGAAATTGTATATTCATAAATTGTGTATTTTTATTAAACTAAATTTTCAACACTGAAGAAATAAAGGTTTAACATTTATAAATATAATATAATTAATAATGTAATAATAAATATTACCTCAAGTGTACCATCTTCAGTACATGCTATAAGTCTAAGACCTAAAAATCCAACTGCTGCCATCACATGACCAGTCTTTCGGGAGTCACATGGACAATGTGGAAAAATTACTTCACCATAACCAGGTAGTTCTTTAGCCATTTTTAAATACTATTAATTATAAAAAATAAATTAAAATTCATCAAGACAATTAAAAATAAATATATACTTAAATATTTAACTCTTACGATTAATGAATCTGATAAAAAAAAATTGTTCGTATACTATTCAATATGTTTACTAGACATTTTTTTAAAGATAAACACTAATATGTGGACTAATTATATGAATAAAAAAAAAAAAATTATTTTTACTTTTTATGCTACTAGATTGTTTGTCGGATAAAGAATATTTTTAAATAAAATATTGGACATAAAATTAAGAAAAATAAAATAAATAATTACTATATAGAATTCTTTAAATATTAAATTTTTTTAATTGTTGTATTTCCTAAATCTTAATTAATAATGTGCACTAACTTATTGCAATTTATTTATCAGTACATACAAAATATTTTAAGTTTTAAATAATGCTAATATAATTTAATGTTGCCGCACAGTTAAGTATATATTATTATTTTTTAAAAGTTGCTAGGATAATAAAGATTTTATAATAAATAATTACATCTAGTTTTTTGGAAGAATCTTGTAAGGCTTTCAGTTCATATAAACGGTCCCCTACAATGATATGATTACGATCTACTTCATCAATAGTACTCCAGAAAATAAATGTTGCAGCTAAAGTATTTGATGCTATAAGTTGCATTTCAATAGTAGGATTAAATAGCCATCGTTTTATACATAAACAGCTAGCACTAGCCGTCCGATAGTTTTGAACATAAAGTTGATGAGCTATTTCATGTGGTTGAATTTTTCTTTCTAAAAAAATTAAATATAAATATACTTAATTAAATAGTAGTACAAATAAAAATGTAAAGTTATATAAAAAAAAATTAGTTCAATGTAATTTAAATCTTACAAATATATAATAAGTAATTTTGTTAAAGAATACTTACCAAAATTATACTCAACAATTTCAAATAGGTAAAAATAAGGTACTATATTTTCTCCCATTTGTATTTTATCTACAATACTATTGTAAACACTTTCAGCTGTTGCATTTTTTTTGGTTCTAATAATTACTATTTCTCGATCAGGTAATATTATTTTTAAATCCACTATTGAGTCAATATTCTATACACAAAAATTATATTTATATAAAACAATATACTCAAAAATTATCAAATAAAGACTTTTACCTGTATGTTACCAGAATCAGCCAGGAAATCTTGCATAATTTCACTTTCAGCGATGACACGAACAGCACAAACTTTTTCTAAATATAATTCCAAACCTCTTCTTCTTGAATCAAGTTGTTGTTCACTTAAACTATAAAGAATAACATTATATAAAACCTAATACCAAATAAAATTGTATAATTATTTAAATTAGTCCTTACGTAAATGGCCATTTTCCAGGGAGTTTTGGAAAACTATACCCTATAAACTCTCTTTTGAGATTAACATGTAGATTGGAGAATTCACTATAACGTTTTGAACACAAATGACGACCAGCCATATATATATTAAATACCTAAATAATAATAATTATAAAATATCTTGCTACATGTTCATTGCTAAGCTATTATTTTAATGAAGGATAAAAGATTTTACTTTTGCAGTCCTCAAAAAAAAAGGGAGAAAAATCACTTATAATTATACTATATATAATAATAAAATAAAATTTGTATACTTATAACTGGTACAATTTAAAATTAGATAAAGTGAAATTTAAAAAACAATGAATAATGCTTCCCATTCAGTTTTTATGTTGTCATTTATAAATACTATATTTATCATAAATACAAATCATACAAACTTGGTAATTACATATCAAGTACCAATGATTCATTTAAAATATTGACTTAATATAAGTAATAAGTATATACACTGAGAGTTACTTAAGAGAATAGTTATATAAAATTATTTCTATATAATAGTAACTAAAAAATAAACTTTTACTTAGAAGCAATTCAATAAAACATATAAAGGGGAGCACAAAACCATAAAAAAAAAAAACTTGAAGCAGTTTTCAATAAATAATACAAATCAGCAATTTTTTATTTGAAAGGAATTGTTAAAATTCAATTATTAATATTAATTTATACCATATACAAACATTTACGATAAAATAATATTAAAAAATTTGTTTTGTAAGAAATATTATGTTTCAATTTAAGGTAAAAGAATCAATATATTTATAGGTATTTCATAAATTGAAAATTATTGACAAATTACAGTTGAGTTAAATTTTTATCTTACAATTTTCAGACTAGTTAATAAAATTGTGCAAATACATATATGCATTCATTAATTGAAGAGCAATAATACACTAAAAAAACAACTATAAATTCTTACCACATATTTGTCTCCATCTTTATCAACTGTATGATAATCTGGTACAGAAATGGGCAATGATCTTTTATCACTGTAGTCTATATAATTATATGTTGATTGATCTTCACTTGGTTCTAATCTCTCAGCTTCCTATATATATATAAAAAAAAAATAGATATTCAAAAAGTATTTTTAAGTATATAAATATGTTATAAGCATTACCATACAAAGTTAAAATATATGTATGTTTAATTTATTAATATTATTCAAATATTCTGTGTTCATAATAATATTTTTATAAATTTAAAAAATAATATACAGAGAAAAAAATTATCATAAAGTAAAATTAAATAAATCAATCTAAATGGTGAAAATTGTAATACAAAATTATGTTCATAAAAATAATATATATGCAATTTCAATTCAAGTATGATTTTTATGAATCAAACACATGGATTTTATATATTTTGTTCCATCAATTATACATTCAATAATTAGATTTAAAAAGACAGTTGAAGACTAAATAACTAAACTATTTTTCTTTAAGTTACACAAAATGTACGCATAAAATGATTAATTTATTTTTTTAATTTTATACATCCAAAATGGAAATATTTAGGGAATCAAAAATCTGTTTTATTAAAATTCTAGTTTAATTTTTTTTTTTTGTCTTAAATATTTGATGCAAGTATAATATAATAATCCTGATAATTATTGAATCCACATACATAATAATTATTTATTTAATAACATTTTATGTAAATTTTAAATTAAAAATTTAAAATATGATAAAACTAAAAAATATTCAGGTTGTTTTTTTACGATAGAGATCATATAGTTGAAAACATAATATTTTTAATTTATCTAGTATACTATGTTATTAATTATTTCTTTAAAAATTGTATTTTTAAACTAATTAACTTTATGCTGACTGTAGATTTTAATTGTAAATTATCTAATTCAAGATAAAATCTATTGTAATAAAATTAGCTATTTAGTGTATGTTTTGCATAGAATGAAATTATAATTTTTACATCAAATTCAAAACAATAACTTAGTCCAAATATTATTTGGCAAACAACAATAATTTAAACATAAATAATACATAATGAATACAGAACATACCTGAGGTGTAACAGATATTACTGTCAATGTCAATACATCACCGCCCGATTTTATTAAATCGACGACTTGTTTATGTGTAGATCCTTCAACATTCACATTATTTCTAAATACCAAACACAATATTAATACATTTAATCATAAAACGGCATTCTCTAGTAAACATTAAAAAAAAACCTAAGCTCTATAACAAAATAACCCACAATACAATTAAACTGATAGGTAAGAAAAATCAAAACAAAACAGCAATATTCAAAAACTTACACTTCGAGTATACGGTCTCCTTTGCGGATCCCAGCGTCGTACGCTGCTCCACCTTCAAGCACCGCGCTAACGTGCTGTAAAGGAGCGTAGAGTTGGCCATTAATGCTCTTCAACTGGCCTCCCTCGCTGACTTGACCACGGACGTTAAATCCGAAGCCAGTGACACTCTTGGTTATAGTGACTTCTCGAGGACCCGCCGGTACTTTCGACGACATTGTCCATCAACACTCCATCACCTAAATGATTAATAAGAACATGTGACGTATGGCCCGGGAACGAAAATTATTTTCATATATTTTCAAAATCGCTGATGGATCAAGGAACATTATCACTTACCGTCACGATAACACCACCGCCACTATCAATAATATCAGTGTTTTGCACGATATAAGTTTATCTGTCTACCTACATTACTACGACTCGGATTTCTCAACTAGAAGTGTTGACAATATGCCACATTATATTAAATTAATTTGTTTTTTCGTTCGCTCACCACCACTAATTGTCTTTGATTAAATTATCGAAACTATAAAAAATATATTTAAACATACTGAATAGATTTATATATAGTAGGTACACATTATATTTGGAGTTTTACAAAAATTTTTAATAATAATATGTATAACGCGCGCAATTGGAGGAAAATTTAAATATAATCCGACGAAAAAATAAGCAGCAACTAGGCGTCTGTTATTATATCAAATAGAATTAGTTTTTAATTTGTGGTGGTTTTTTGTTTATATTACAGTTTAAGTATAGAATCAGTTAGTTTGTGAAATAACTAGATAATTTATAAAATAAGTAAAACCTGTAGGTAATGTATATAATCTAGTTATTTTATACATTCCCTAGCACCACTTCGTTAATGTATCAAATTGATATATTCATGCATGTACAATATCGCTATTATACTACCCATTATATTAATAAATTAGATGAAACTACCGTTCTTGTTATCGGTGACCAGTAGCGTAACTGGAAAAAAACCTAGGAGGGGCAATATAATATATTTATTATTACCAAAACCCTGACACCTCTCCCCCTCACCAGTTAAAATATATTTTTATTGTATGTATTTTATACACTATATCTAATTGTTTGATTTTACATAAGTCTTTTAACTAATTTTATGGTTTAGATAAACATAAATTGTAGGTAGCATCTACTAGATACCAATATTCATAAGAGTTCATTAATAAAGGTTATAATAAAGGTAATAAGGTGCTATTTATACTGTTGGATTATCTGGGGGGAGGGGCAAAATTATACATTTATCTCTCAAAAAATGGTCAGAGGGGGCACTTGCCCCCCCAAAAAAAAAAAATCACCCCAATGTCGGTGACTACAGTGTTCATGTACGTTTATCGTGTAGATAAAATTATCGTTGTATATGTATTATTATTAAGATTGTCAATAATATTGGTAAGGTTTAAAGTTTAGTAATAGTCTAACAATCACACGCGTTTAGTGTTGGTTCGCTTGTCTCTACAATAGCCTTTGCATGTACAAATAAATAATTAATTAAATTTAAAATAAACACAATTTTATAATATATTTTAAATTTTAATGTATTTCATATTTTAACATATATCAAACTAAAATTTTATAAAATAACTAGATATTCTATAAAATAATTTGTTAAAGTATAACTCTCATGTATGATTACATACTTTAACTGACATTCATAGGTACCTAATTCATGAACTACCTAGTTATTTTATAAAATAACGGTATTCAATACTTTAACTATAACATATACAATACTTTTGCGAATCCATCCATTTATACTAAGTTTGAGATTATATATTTCATTGTTTATCATTTCAACCAGTTATTCATAAGAGGTTTTTGAAAAACGTCCATTATTGATTATAGTAGATTATACAATGTAACTTTTACATTTACAGTAGTACAGTATACTGTAACTATAGTTACATTTAAATCTTAGTTAATAATTTTAGTTAAATATTGGAGTAAAGCATTTTTATGACTAACGTATATAACTATAAACTATTAATTATAATTTATAATTTATTAACATAAGCGTACATAGGTATCCCGTCGGATTTTACTCATAGATATTTCAGATATTTGTATTTATCGTACACTCTAAATCCTACAGACTTGATACAAACGATTTAGATAATAAGTTAATAGTTGAAATTAAACTAAATTACCAATTGATGTAGGTAGTTTAAATTTAAAATTCGACTACCTATGGATAATTTTTTCCAACACTACATAATATTATAGTCGTTTTTTAAATAAACAGATAAACAAATGACATACTGTAAAAAATAATTAAAAAAATTTAAAACACAGAACGCATATCTATACTGTCAATATATATAGTACCTATATGTATATGTTTGTGCAGGCGTGTACACAAAAAAATATTTTGAAGGGGTTTTAGGTTGTACATTTTCATACTTTTATAATCTAAACATACCACTTTTACTCTACAAAAACATATTTAATAATTTTCTTGAATTTCGTTGGAGGGGAGGTTTGAACCCCTAAAACCCCCACTTGTGTGGGTTTGTGTGTCTTATAAGTAAAATTACAAAGGTATCCGAGTGTATAACCGTAACGTATAAATTGCGATATCGCCAAATATTTATAAATAACTCTTAGCAATTATCATTTTATGTTCATCACTGTGTTACACGGATAAATTTCATAAAGTATATATTAACAGGTACTTGAAATAAGGAATAATAGTTTTTGTAACAATCATAACTATAGTAACTATAGGTCTATACGCTATGTACTGTGATTAGATATACATGTTTTTATATACAGTTAATTCACTTTTTATACTTTATAAGACATTTAAGATTAAATTAATAATATACATACCAACATAGGTATATTGACAATTACTGTGAATATAAACTAGGGACTTCAAGAGACTAATATATTTTTACGTAAAACAAATTTCAACAAATTTTCTATACTTAACCATTTAGGTAAAAAATAAACTATTTTTCACAAAATTACGACCGTGTATAAAAACACTCATCAAAATAGATTTTAAATAAACTTATAAGGAACATATGATAGAATTTTAGGAAGTTTTATTTTAGTTCGGGCAATTTAATACACTATGTTATACCTATATTATAATTTATATTTATTTGATTTAAAATGAATAATACAATTTATTTTTTTACAATTAAAAGCACCTAAACTATAGTTTAAAAACAAATCAAACTATTTATTAAACACATAAATAATATTAAATGAGTGAAAATAATAAAGAACCATCATTTATACATTAAGAGAATATTCTAATTAAAATAATAATAAATTTTCTTCTTTAATTATTTATAATTATATAAGAAGATGCCTATTAATGCCTATTTTGCGGTTATAAAGCTCACACATCTTAATAATTTAAAGGTCAAGAAGTCTCTAACCCTAAACTAATAATTTACGGTTCAATCATATTTGAATTGTTTAATGATTAATTTTAAATTAACCACTAGAAAAAAATTTAATGTTTTAGTTTTTGTTTATATATATATATACCTATGTACACAATTAAAACTATTATTATTTTGAATAAAAATTATAATGTATAGGTAAAATTGTTTATATATATTTATATTTATACTAAAACTTGTAGTTATGATTTTTAAAACATATTCCTATAGATTATTGGTTTAAGTAACACAAGATATTAATAGCCAAGAATCTAAAGCTAAGCTAAAGAATGTTATTTGAATATTTTATTAATTTACTAAAATTTACTTCAGATAAAAATTTTTATATAAAGAAATAATTCAATCAATATGAACGATTGAAATATACACTAATCACGCTAACACGTATAACCATACTTAACTACAGACGTATAAGCAAAAAAAATACTTTATTTTTGGGATAATTGAACCCTTACCCCCCCCCCCCTTATGTGCACGCTAGCCTACCTAGTATTAATTATAGAAGTCATTCATATTTTCAGTACTGAAAAATATCAGTTGATAAGTTCTAAATATTTATATTTTTGTTAATATAATCAGCTAATCAATTTTATTTTACTTACATGTTAGAAAACTTAGAAATAAAAATCGTGTATAGAGCATAAAATATACAGCACTTATAAACACTGTCCTAAGACTTACAAAAAACTTAAATATAAAAAAAGTACATCTCATGTACTAAATATTAATAATATAGGTATGAAATAAAAACAATAGAAAAAATCATAACCGTATTACGTAGAACATTTATACAACTATTTTAATTAATTTACAAATTTTATATCTTTGATTATATTTAAATTTAAAATGACAATTGATTTTTTATAAATTTAATAATACACCGTATAAAATGTTATACTTTATTACCTTGTTAAGTATATGCTTGAAATTTATTTTTCCAAAAGTATAAATAAAATGTGAACGATAATTCTAACATCAGTATTTGGTTAGTATATTAATAATAATTGCATACCTACATATACCACCGACCTTAATAACCATTAAATATATTATGTATATTTTATAGATAAATACATAGTTTATAATCTAATTTATTCAAATAACCTACAAAAATGTAATATGCCTAAGTCGATTGTCAAAATATAAAGAACATTAATTTATTTTACATGTAACAAAACTATTTTAGAAAACCAAATTTTGTTTTGTTTCATGGCTTAATATATTTTTTTAAATGCCAATCTCAGTATTTTTTGAAATTATGGCATCTTGCCATTTACAATAAACTATTTTTATTCTTTTGCATATATTATATTATAGTTATTTTTTAATTTATATTGGCTTTACATTTATTGAATAAATGCCAAGTTTTTTAAGCGCTTCAATTATAAATTGAAACCATTAAAAATAAAATTATTATTCTTATAGTTATTTTATAAATTTTTTCTATAAACTAAGATTATTTTACAATTTACAAAACTTCAAAAATGTATAATTAAATAACTTACACAATTTTAGATATTATAAAATGTGTATACAAGCCACATAGTACATACAAATTCAATAAGTTACAACTATTTTTAACACATTGTTTTAACTTTTAAATTTACAGCAGATACAATGAAATCTTTAATTAATACTAAGTATGAAGCAATGAATAAGTCGATATAGTTTAGCCAGGCAACCAGTAGTTAAAGTGAAAGGAGACGGAAGAGGACGGTGTCCTCTTTCTTATTTAAGGTAAAATTATGCGTCCTCTTTAATTTAAATCTCCCAAGTCCAGGGGAACTTAA